TACCTTCCTCTCAGGAACCTTCTCCCCACTCTTTATTGAGCAGCAAGTTTCGGCTGTTCCTAAATAAATACAACCCAGCTGCTCTCTGCCTTAGGGACGGCTGTGGGGTTTACTGGTGCGAAGAGCCCAGGCCGCCCGTTGCTGTGGGAGTTCTTCCAGAACAGTGTGGAAGGGAACCAAGACAATGGAGAGGGGCGGCCCAGGAGTGGCCGAACACCGCCACCAACAGGTCTCATGCTCAGTCACCCATCCCGGGCCAGGGCCGGAGCCGGAGCCTCGTGCCTCCAGGAGAACCCCACTGCCCGTGCGGCAGAAGGGGATGGAGGAGCAAGGAGGCCGGATCTCGGGAGCATCTGCCCCCGCAGCCCCTGGGGTTGAAACACCTCCCCAGATCACTGAGAAAGTCCACGAAGGGCTAGTGTCTTCCCCTTCCTGCCGAGAGCCCAACGTTCTGCCTGCCCGCTCGCTCGCTCGCTCGGTGCCCAACACGGGCTCGCAGGAAGAACAATGAACTTGAAGAGCCAACGTGTCGGCTCTCCCGACCAGCTTGGCCCGACAGAACGTTCTGCGATGACGTCAACGTGCTCTATCTACCGCCTTCAATGTGGGGGCCACGTGTGCCCACTGCCGCAGGGCTGTGCTGCTCCCAAACCCTCCTCCCCTGAGACACTGCATTCTCAATGAATTTCTTCACCAGAACACGAAGGGAAAAGCTACTCTTCAGCCAATGCAAAAGAAGGCTGACATTTCTATTTTAAACTCATTCTTGGGCCCATCACCCCAGGCTTGTCCTTCCCAGTTGAATGCAACAATAGTCGCGGCCTGCGAGCCATGTGCCATAAGAACATCCAGCCCTGTGGGCGGGAGGACAAAGAAACCGCCAAGACCAACCCTGGAGATGGACAGGTTGGGTCAAAGTCAAGGCCTTCAGAAGTACGAAGGTACAGGGTCTGTCCCGGCACCGAGGCTGGGGGGAAGGCCGGGGAAGGCCTCCCCGTCAAGGAGGGAGGACGGGGCAGTGAGAGCCTGGAAGGCGAGACAGGTCAGGCTGGGAAGCGTCTTGAACACTGTCCTGTGCTTTAGTTCGTCCCGTGCGGAAAAGGCAACTAGGGGTCCTTTAAGTAAGAGGCCCTGACCAGGTCTGATTTGGATAATCACACGGATGGAGCCTGTGCGTGCAGGTGGGTCTCGGTAAATGCCACTGAACGCCGACGGGGCCAGGGGAGCGTCCGTGGGGAGAAGGGTGCGGACGCGGGGGGCATTGATGCCTGACCGCGCCTGGGCCACGAGGCAGCCCATCCAACGGTCATTCGAGGGCAGTGGGAGTTGAGAAGGTCTCGGTGACTTGCTGACCTGAGAGTGCTGGGAGTGAGGCAAAGGTCAAGGACGACGGCTGAGATTTCCTGCTTGAGGACCTCCGTGGACTGCCAGGCTGAGACCCGAGAGAAACAAAGGAGGAGCGGGTGTCCGCAGGTGAGAAGGGCGGCACCAGCAAGGGGTGCCTGTGGGAGCCTCGGGCAAGGCCCACGGGCAGCCAGACTCTGGCGGTGTCTTCCTTGACCAGCGCCCCGCCACCAAGCCACGCTCTCTCACACGCCCACATGGCTGGGACGATGGCAGCCGGGCCCCGCGTATAGCCGGGTGTCCTGAGCACGAGGTGGAGAGCTCCCCGGGGCCTGGAGCAAGGAGGGCTGTGCGAGCCTGGACAGAAAGACCGGGGGGAGGACAGGAACACCCACCAGGGATGCCGTGGGGCATCTACTCGTGAGGCGTAAGGGCAGAGACACGGCCTAGACAGCAGCGTTTCAGGGAGACCCTCCTGCGGGGACAGTGCCGTCCACCCACCCGGGCCCAGGGGGATGTGCAGGGCTTCCTGAGGCTGCTGTCACAGATCGCCATGAATGGAGAGGCTTAAAACAGCAGAAGCAGATTGTCTCCCCGTTCGGGAGGCGGAAGCCTAAAATCAAGGTATCAGCGGGGGCCGAGCTTCCTCCAGCGACCGCAGGAAAAACCCTTCCTGCATCTTCGAGCGTCCCTGGGCTTGTGGCCACCTCCCTCCATCTCTGCCTGTGTCCTCACGCGGCCTGCTCCCCTGTACCTCTCCTCTTCCTATAAGGCCCCCCGCCGTCGGCCTTAAGAACCATCCTAAGTCCAGCAGGATCTCATCTCCGAGGCCTTCACTGACCGCGCTTCTAAGAGACGCATTTCCCAGTTGGGCCACTTTCTGAGGTTCCGGGCAAGCACGACTTCTGGGGGGACGTTAGTCAACCCCCTACAGCAGGGATGAGGCCACCCATCTCAGAGGCACTGGGAGGAGGAAGAGCAGGAGTCGGAACACACCGGACGTCCGGGCACAAAGAGAGGCTCTGAGGAGTCCCAGGGGGACGGTGGGGCAGGCTGGCGGGGCCAGCCGAGGGAGGTGAGGAAGCCGGCCGAGGGGAAACGCTGTGGGAGCTGTGGGAACCAGGGCAAAGGTTGGCCAGAGATAGTGGCCGGGAGGCAGCGGCCCACAGAAGCCGCTCGAGGGACGTGGGAGAACACACCGGAAGGCCACTTGGGAGGTCAGAGTGCGGGCATCCGCCTGGGGACACACGTGTGTGCATGGGAACACGTGAGGATGTTTCCAGTGGCGCCTCGGACAGAGGAAGGCTTCCGCCAACCTCCAGCAGCAGGCCCACACCGAGGAGCCCTCGCCCACAGGCCGTACACACGAACAGGGCTACACGAGCCTGCGAGGACAATCTCAGAGACATCCCGTGGCCTGAAAAAGCAAAGAGCACCTTCGGGCCGGCACCCCTCGGACGGCCGACGGGCGGCTGCCGGTCCGCAAGGGAGACACGTGTCGTCCAGACACACAGCATACGTGCACCGGCAGTGACCAGGGAGTCACCCTGGCAGGAACGGGCACAGGGAGGGTCCCCCGGGCGCTCACACCGCACCTAGAACACCTTATTTCTCAAGAGGGCCGGTAGGCACACAGCTGGCTTATTTCATTCTTTCCAGTCTTTTTACTGGGTCTACCAATCCCATTTTTTCAAGAAGGGCAGAAAGTAAGGTCATAGAAGGGTGGACAGTGGGCACGGCTTGAGCTGGTGGCCTGTGGCTTCTGCCAGCATCAGCCTCGTGAAAAGCCTGAGCTCACAGAAGTTGTGCTGGGATACAGCCCCTGGCCCTCTGGGAGGACTAGGGGCCTGGGGTCCCGGACGCAGGAGGCCAGGCAGAGTGTGCGACAAGAGGTCAGGCTCGGGGGAGGGTAGGGTAGGTGGTGGCTCCAAACAGGGATCCTGCAAGGGTCAGAGGGACCGGGGCACTGAGAGGCTGGGGGTCCAGGGAAGACCCTCATCGGGGTCCCGGTCTTAGCTGCGGTACGGCTGGGATTAGAGAAGGAGCCAGGAAGACAAGGAAAGGGTGTCCCGAAGCAGAGCCCGCGCAGGCCCCCACAGAGAGGATTTTGTGTGTCAGCACGCGGTCCCAAGAAAACCCAGATCGCGGGCGCACAGCTCTGGGCTGCAGCAAATTATGCCTTAGGCTTCCAAGCGGACCGTGGCAGCGGCTGCCAAGTGCTGACGGCACAGAACTGGCCAGTCTGAGCCCAGAGAAGCAATGGCCAGAGGAGACTGTGTCCACATGGCCCAGGGCGCCAGTCTCCGGACACCTCAACCCCAGAGCTCAGCAACCTGTCCCTGGCCCCAGCACCAGGCGAGGCCCCTAGACCCAGCCCGGCTGCTGGAAGGGCAAAGAAGCAGCCCAGCTGCTGGAAGGGCAAAGAAGCAGCCCAGCTGCGGGGCCCCAGAGGAAAGTTCCCCAGAAAGACAGGCCGGGCCGTCCAGTGGTTAGTGGCCCGACGTGGCTGCAGGGGGTGGAGCTCTTGCGTAACTGCGGATGTGAATCACTCAGCCGCCCGGGAGACCTCCAGCCGGGCGTCACCCTTCCCTTCCCACACCCAGCCCCGTCCTGCACCACAAGGGGCCTCAGACACAGCCGTGGGGACATCCCAGCCTGTGCATCCACATGCCCCTGACACTCCCACCCCCGTTCCCTGCCAGGCTGCCCCTCGGCTGCCCCACAAGCCTGGGGATGCCCTGAGGGTACCCGCGGGCAGGTGACACCTCAGACGGACAACCCTCGCAGAGGTTTGCAACGGCCCCCGAAGAAGGCTCAGGACACCCGGGGAAGGAATTCTAGGGGTAGCCGGAATGATCCAGACCGGTCTAATTGCACAGCTGCTAGCTACACACAGACATTACGTGGAATTAATTTAAAAGAAGTTAACCGCGTCATTCTATGCAAGTGAACGAATGAATTAAATAAACTTTGTGTATTCCTCACGTGGTCGGTAGTCACGTGGCCGCTATGGCTAGATGCGGAACAGACTCACCAGCGCGGAGCGCTCCACAGGGCGGGGCTGGCCTAGGAGGGCAGGGTGTGGGCTCCAGGGGAGGCGAGCCCCTTCGTCCTTCACCTCTGGGCCCCAGTGTCCTCTTTGGAAAGAGGCCGCCCGCATGGACACATGGAGAAGAGGCAGAGAGAAGAACTCGGCCGAGACGACCGGGAGGCCACTTATGTGACCCTGGTCCCCGCTGCCTGCCCGCTCGGTCAACGGAGCCCCCTCAGTTCTGCAGGGCGTGGGAAGCAGCAGGGGTCCGTGGCTGCTCAGAGTCAAAGCCGCCTGCCCGTGGGCTGCCCGTCCCTCCGCGCCTCCGCAGGGCAGCCCAACAGCATCCACACCCGCCTCGGTCTTCTGTCCTCTGTCCCCCACCACACATGCGGCCTGCTCCCTGGGCCAGGACTGCCTCCCTACAGAGAGGCGCCCCTGCTCCCACGAGTCCCAGCTCTGGCAGACTGTGCTCAACGGGCCTGAAAGCCACCTGAGTCGGAGCCATCAAAGACCAGGCCTCCCTGGGCGGCAGGCGAGGAGCCCCGCTCACCTCAGAAGGCCACGTGGGCTAGAGGGCTGGGCCAGAAGAACCTGGGGGGTCACAGCTGAACAAGCTACTCACCTGGGCCGCTGGGGTCGCCGAGCTTCCGGAGACGGTTGCTGGAGGTCCGCGTGACTCCTAGAGACAGGGGCAGAGGGCAAAGGTCACACCGGGCCGCTTGAGGGCGGTTCACACTGGGCATAACCTCGCCCGTGCCCTGCAGTGGGCTCCAGGACCAGAAACCGGCGGCCCTGGTCCTCCCAGGTGACACCCAGACCCAGCTGCCACCCGCAAGGACGGCCACTGCCTTCTGGACGCCGGCGGCTGGCGGGCACCAAGCCGAGCCTTTGGCGCAACATTTCCCACCCAACTCGCACTCCTCGTCTCACAGCTGCATTTCAGCAGGGCTGACCAACTTGCCTGAGGCCACACAGCTACTAGCAATTGAGCCCATCAACCTCCAAAACCCAGGCTTGGCCAAGTGGCCCCCCCACCCCGACTGTCTGCAGGACGGTGAGGGTGCTGGCACCCAACTAGGCTCCGGCCACCCCCTGGGATAAAGCAGGTCGACGCGCATAGTGAACTGAGATTTCCCTGCACCCGGGGCGCTGACCCAGCCCCTCTGCTCTGGGTCTGGGCGGAGCCGGACTGAATTCGGGAGCGTGAAGGATGAGCCGTTCTCTCCCACCACCGCAGGAGGCGACAAGGACAGAGCCCCAGGTGAACACGGCCCTGTGCTGCAGGTGCTCGGTCCCGACATGCACCCCCTGGGTCCGGCGCGTGCTCCCTGGAGAGGTTTAAAGCAGGCAAGTCCGGACTCGAGGGGATTTGAGGAGCTGCTAAGCCAAGCAAACCCGGGGCTGCCAGGAAGGGGATCCACAGGAGGGGCAGGGAGCACGACGGCTGCTCCAGAAGCGGGCTCCCTGGGCAACCAAGCCATCCCTTGGAGCTGTAGGGACACCCCACGTTGGCCAGCAGAGGCCCTCCCCACACACAGCGAGAGGAGCAGAGAAGGGGCCCGGGGCTAACCCAGAAACCTCCTGGCAGCCTCCACCATCGGACCCCCACCCAGAACGATGGCGTCAGAGGTGCCGTCCTCCAGAGAGGCTCTTGGAACATTCATTCATTCCCACATTCATTCCACAAACCCACTCCTCAATGACGGGCCACGGGGAGGGGATGCAGCCGGCATTGTTCCTAGCGGTTCCAGAGCTCCCGGCGGTCCAACCTGCACAGCTGGCTTCGTGCCCAGCTCCCCGGGGACTCACATGCTCTCCACGATGGATTGAGCACTGAGAACAGAACGTGTGCGGCTCGTCCTGCAGGGTCTAGTGTTGACAGACACCTCTCGCCAAGCCCAGGTCTCTTTCCAGGTCTCTTTCCAGGGCTGGGGAGGACCCCAAGATGCGCCCCAAATGTTGAACCCAGACGCTGTGAAACAATGCCAAGGGATGCATGTGGCAGGAGATCCAAGGGCCTGAAGTGACCAGAAAGGCTTTGAGGAGGCAGGGAGGGCCACGCTGACCCTTGCAGGAGGCCAGGGGGACGCTGGGTCATGGCCACGTCCAAGCACCGAGGCTCTGGGATGGTCACGAGCTCATATCCGTTCCCCACACACCCCCACTGGGCAAATGCCACCACTGCCATTTCAGGACAGGGAGGCTCGGACATCCGCCAATGCCACCTTCTCCTACAGAGCTCCCCGCCCCACCCCAGCACCCCATGTCATCTGACTGCAGCCACTGGAATTCCTCGGCCTCCAGGACGACACGAGCCTGTCCCCCACTGGTCTATTTCTCTGGTAAACCCCGATGATTACAGTGACCTCACCCAGCAGACACACAGGCCTCCCTCCACCGTCCCCGCCTACTCGGACGCACGTCTGCTCACGGCCGAGCGGTGATTGCGATCCCTCCTCAGACGTCCAACCAGAGCACAGGGACTCCAGGCCAGCCCTGCCGGACAAGAAGCCTAGGCCACGGACTCAGGCCCGCTCGGGCAGGTCCCACCTTGGACTTCCAGGACGGACAGCTCTCTTAAGACAGGGAGAGGGTGGGCCTGAGGTGGCTCTGGTGGGCTACCCAGGGCAGGGAGGGGCGGGAGGGGACAGGCCCTGTTCCTAGGGCAGCTGAGGCCTGAGCATGGGCATCCCTGGCCTCCGCAGGGCTCCCTTCCACGATGGCTGTGACCTCTCCCCTGAGCGGAAGCGACACAGCAGGAGAATCACCATCTCATCATCACGCCCTCAACACACACACACACGAGCCACTCAGAGGTCCCACTGCCGGGCTAAGAGTGGCACCAGTGAGCCACGCTATGCCCGTGAATCCAGCGCGTCCCCAATATGGAAACCGTACGGGGTGAGGAACAGACAAGGAACAGGCCCAGCATTCCTGTGGATTGACTCACTTCCGGCTGCGACTCCCCCTGGGCCGGCTGGACGCCCACCCGTGCCCCTGCCCCTGTCTCTGGCAGAGGTAAGAGAGGTCCCATTCTGGTTCCACAGTCCCTCCCTCCCCCCTGGGCATCTGGTCCCCAAGCTCCCTTCTGGGCTCGCTGCTCCCCAAACCCAGGCTGGGGCTGGAGCCACGGCCAGGAGGAAAACAGCATCTGTCTCAGATTTCTTGGGTGGAGTTTTGTTTTATTTGTGCTGTTTATTTTTCCAATTTCCCAAAACACGCGGCTGGTGCCAGGCAGCCCCTGGCACGGAGAAGACGCCGGGCACGCCGCTTCCCGAGCCAGGTCGGTGGCGGCCTGAGGTTCCCACCCTCGCACAACCTCCCCGCCCAGCGCGGCCGGCCCGCTCGGCCTGGCCTCCGCCTGGGAGAGACACACGGCCAAGAGCTACCGAAGCCCAGCTCCGTGGACCTCGTCCCTCAGGCCCGCGTCGGAGTCCAGTGAAGAGGAAGCCGGAGAGGCCTCCAAACCATCTAAGAGCTCAGTTGCTCCAGTGGAGAATTGAGTTATTTTTATGTGATTTTAAAATAAAACATATTCTGAAGGAGAGGAGACGATTTGCAATTTGGCCGTCTGGAGGGCGTTCCCAGAGGCCCAGGAGGCAGGGAAGCGGGCAGTCCGAGGAGGAGCAGGGTTCAAATCCGGGGTTCGCCAGGCGCTACCTGCACCCCCGCACCCCGGGAAATGCGGTCCCCGTGCCAGCACCGGCTGCCGGCCCGCGGCCCGCGGACAGAGCGGAGCGCACGCACACGGGCGACCGAGGTTGAATGGGGCCACACGCCGTGGGCCCTCGGCACAGCCCCTCGCGTGAAGTAAGCACTCAATAAATTATATGATTATTATCATTAGTAGCATATTAATCATAATCATAGTTTTAAAATCGTTTTCACGGTTATCATTCCCCAGCCACACACGCCAGCCTGAACCCCGCGGTCTATGAATCGGAATCGACAAAGCCTGGCTGCGCCGAGCCAACGCCTTTGAACAACCTGTGAGTTCGCGTAAGACCCAGAGCGAACAGTCACGCTTGCGGAACGCAGGATCCGGGCGCTCTCCCAGACCCAGGCACCCCAGAAACTCCGAGGCTGGGCACAAAGGCCATTTCACAGATGGTCACGAACTGCGCGCCCGTCACACACACCGGTAAAGTGTAACGTGTTGAGCCCCGAGCCCTCGAGACCGAAACACCCTTCAGGTGAGTCGGGGCAGGGGAAGCAGAGGGGAGAAAGCAGGACTCACCCCTGGCCTGCGTCTTTTGTTTTTTTTTTAAGATTTTATTTATTTATTTGACAGACAGAGATCACAAGCAGGCAGAGAGGCAGGCAGAGAGAGCCGGGGGGGGGGCGGTGGGGGGGGGGGGGGGCAGGCTCCCCGCTGAGCAGAGAGCCCGATGCGGGGCTCGATCCCAGGACCCTGGGATCGGCACCTGAGACGAAGGCAGAGGCTTCAGCACACTGAGCCATCCAGGCGCCCCCCTGGCCGGCGTCTTAAACGGGATGACAGCGCAGCGTTCCAGAGCCGGAGAGAAGATGCCAGACCAGGAGCGGTGGCTCCTTGGTCCTCAAGAGAAAGGCCGTGATCCAGGGCAGGGCTGGGCGAAGGGGGATGGCCTGGGAGGCGTTTTCCCATAGAAACAGCTTGCAGGGAGGGCAGGCGGAGCCACACCCAGCAGCCCCGGGGCAGAGCCCACCTCCAGGCAACAGAAACCCGCAGGCACGGGGAAACCACCCAACTTCCCTTCGCCACGTGGCCCCAGGGCATTCCCCGCCGCCGCGCCCCCCGCCCCCCCCGCATAGCAGCCCCTCGGCCGGTCTGGTGGGCATCACCGTGGGCCTGCAACCTGGGGAGCCTGCACAGGGGAGGCAGGCAGGGGGTGCAGTGGGCATGAAGGCCCTGTATGTCCTCCTTCCAGCCAAGTTTTTATGATGGGTCGGACCCAGTAAATTCTAAGTTCAAGATGCTTAAACAGGCCCTGAGACATCTAAGCAGACTCCCGAGGTCATGGGTCATTATTAGCTGTGAGTTTAATGACCACGCACAGCCTCGGGGCCACAGTGTCTCCGCCCAGGATCCGGCGGCTGTCCCCAGCCCCTCTGGGGTCATGCACAGCCGGGACATCCTGACCCCGGTGGACGATGACACACACACACACACGCACCCCATTCTGCTCTGTGCCAACAACAAATGAAATCTGGCCACTACCTTCCTCCAGTCAAGAAGACACCGTGTTGCAGGAGGAGGCCGCTATGAAAACTCACGCAAATGTCCATTTTCAGTAAAGAACAGAAGAATCGATTTTCAACTTTGTCTTCGAACCTCTGAGTTCGAGTCTCTCAGGAAAGGACAGGGAGGTCCCAGCGACCTCGGCCCGGGGCCGAGTGTCCCTCCACCTCTGAGCCCAGGATGGGGGTCCCCGGGATGCATAGTCTTCACCCCCCTTTCTCCACGGCTCACGTGCCCACAGGAGCCGGGAGGGGCTCCCGCAAAGTCAAGGGTCGCGGTGGGAGAGTCAAACTCTAGGCTTATCGTGCAAAGAGCCTGAGATGAGGCGATAAGCTCCTCCGTCTTCTCCCAGCCGCAGCCCTCGGCCTTTGCTGCCCACAGAGGCGAGCGCTGGACGGCCGCGCTGGGGAGGTGGGGACGCCCTCCTGGTCACGTCCCAAGCGCTGACCGCGTCTCTG